GGAACAACAAGGACCCACACTGGAACTCTGACAGCCCTGTATCCAATGCTGCTCCCCACCCCTACTGCTTTCCATTTCACATCGATTAAAAAAAAATAATACACATTTAAAAATATTTTTCAGAAATCCAAATTGGAAAAGAGAAAATGAAATTCTCTCTAACGACATGATTCTCTACCTTGGAGAACCAAAAGACTCAGTCAGGAGACTATTGGAACTCATAAAAGACATTGGCAGGGTAGCAGGATATAAAATTAATGCACACAAGTCAATGGCACTAGTGTACACAAATAATTCCATGAATAACAAAGAAATTTTAAATACAGTTCCCTTTGAAATAGAGGAGAGGAATCTTAAATACCTAGGAATTGGGCCCAGTGGCATGGCCTCGCGGCTAAAGTCCTCGCCTTAAACGCGCCAGGATCCCATAAGGGCACCGGTTCTAATCCCGGCAGCTCCACTCCCATCCAGCTCCCTGCTTGTGGCCTGGGAAAGCAGTGGGGGACGGCCCAAAGCCTTGGGACCCTGCACCCGCGTGGGAGACCTGGAAGAAGTTCCTGGATCCTGGCTTCGGATCGGCATAGCATCGGCCGCTGCGCTCACTTGGGGAGTGAATCATCGGACAGAAGATCTTCCTCTCTGTCTCTCCTCCTCTCTGTATATCTGACTTTTCGATAAATAAATAAATTTTTTAAAAATACCTAGGAATTAAGCTAACTAAATATGTGGAAGACCTCTATGACAAAAACTGCAAAACATTAAAAAAGGAAACAGAAGATGACCTTGAAAAATGGAGAAACTTACCATGTTCCTAGATTGGCAAGATCAACATCATCAAAATTACCACAGTACCAAAAGCAATATACAGATTTAACACAATCCCAATTTAAATACCAACAACATTCTCTTCAGAAATAGAAAAAATGATACAAAAGCTCATGTGGAACCACAAAAGACCATGAATAGCCAAAGCTATTCTGAAAAATAGAACTGAAGCAGGAGGAATCACAATTCCAGACCTCAAGACATGCTACAGAGCAGTGGTTAGCAAAACAGTCTGGTACTGGTACAGAAACAGAGAAGAAGATCAGTGGAACAGAATAGAAACACCAGAAGGGAGCCCACACATGTATAGTCAACTAATCTTTGACAAGAAAACTGAAAACAATCCAGGGGAAAATCCTGGTCTCTAACAAATGCTATTGGGACAACTGGATAGCAGCTTGCAGAATTAAGAAGCAAGACCCACACCTGTCATATTATACAAAAATCAACTCTAAATGGATCAAGGACTTAAATCTACACCCAGAAACCATCAAAGTATTAAAGGAAAACATAGGAAACACACTCCAAGATATAGGAACAGGGAAAATTTATTAGAAAAGACGCCAAAAGCAAAGGCAACCAAAGCCAAAATGAACAAATGGGACTACATCAAACTAAAAAGCTTCTGTACAGCAAAGGAAACATCAACAAAGTGAAGAAGCAACTAACAGAATGGGAGAAAATTTTTGTACACTACACAAGTGATAGGGGACTAATATCCAGGATTTACAAAGAGCTTCAGAAACCCAGGAACAGCAAAACAAAGCAACCCTGTAACAAAATGGGCAAAGGAAATGAACAGATACTTTTCAAAAGAACAGATTCAAATGGCTAACAGACATAAGAAAACATGCTCAGGCTCCCGAGCCATCAGAGAGATATAAATGAAAACCACATTGAGGTACCACCTCACTCCAGTGAGATCAGCCTGACATTCAGAATTCAACTAACAACACCTGCTGGCATGGATGTGGGGAGAAAGGTACCCTCCTTCACTGCTGGTAGGAGTGTAAGCTAATACAACCACTGTGGAAGTCTGTATGGAGAGTGCTTAGAGAACTGCAAATAAATCTGCCATATGACCCAGCTATCCCGCTGCTAGGAATATGCCCAATTGAAATGAAATCTGCATATGAGAAGGGGATCTGTAATCCTACATCTGCAGCACTACAATCTACAATAGCAAAGACATGGAAACAATCCAGATGTGCGTCCAAAGAAGAGTGGTTAAAGAAAGTGTGGTACATCTACTCCATGGAATATCATTCAACTGTTAAGAATGAAATCATACTATTTACAACTAGGTGGTCCCAAGTACAGAGCATTATGCTCAGTGAAATGAGTCAGTCACAAAAGAATAAATACCATATGTTCTCTCTTACATAAAGAAACCAGCATGGGGCCCGGCGCGGTGGCGCAGTGGTTAAGGTCCTCGCCTTGCACGCCTGGGATCCCATATGGGTGCCAGTTCTATCCCGGCAGCCCCGCTTCCCTTCCAGCTCCCTGCCTGTGGCCTGGGAGGGCGGTCGAGGACGGCCCAAAGCTTTGGGACCCTGCACCCGCGTGGGAGACCCGGAAGAGGCTCCTGGCTTAGTATCGGCATAGTATCGGCCCGTTGCGCTCACTTGGGGAGTGAATCATCGGATGGAAGATCTTCCTCTCTGTCTCTCCTCTCTGTATATCCACCTTTCCAATGAAAAAATAATAAAAATAAATCTTAAAAAAAAAAAGAAACCAGCATGGAAGGTATAACTTCAATAACCTGTTCCATACTGTTTTTGTTTTGTTTTGGCTACACCCCATGTATTTTGATGTTTTTTATTTCAGTTTTATTTATCCCAAAAATAAATTAAAATAAAAACAAATTTATATTTTATAAAATTTATATTTTTACAAAATTTTATATTTTTTTTTCCAGGGACCTGCATTGTGGTGCAACAAGTCAAACTGCTACTGTGGATGTCAGAATCCCATATGGGTGCTGGTTCCAAGTCCCCGTTGCTCCACTTCCCACCCAGCTCCCAGGTTATGTGCCTGGGAAAGTAGCAGAGGATGGCCCAAGGTCTTGTGCTCCTGCACCCACATGGGAGACCCAAATGGAGCTCCAGGCTGCTGGACTGAGCTGGGCCCAGCCTCTGCTGCCGGCTGCCAGTCAGGGAGCAAACTAGAGGATAAATGATCTCTCCGTGTCTTCCATACGCTCTTCTAACTCTGCCTTTTGAATAAACAGATCACAAGTATTTTTTAGTGGCATCCTCTAAAAACTCATCTATTTAAGTAATTAATTTCAGGGGTACAGGAGAGATGTAAAGACAGATTCCTGTCAGTCTTCTTCTCAAATGCCTGCCAAAAGCCAGGGCTGGCTCAGGGCGAAACCAAGCAGCAGAAACTGTGGGGCCCGGCGCAGTGGCGCAGTGGTTAAGGTCCTCGCCTTGCACACCCGGGATCCCATATGGGCGCCAGTTCTATCCCGGCAGCCCCACTTCCCTTCCAGCTCCCTGCCTGTGGCCTGGGAAAGCAGTCGAGGACGGCCCAAAGCTTTGGGACCCTGCACCCACGTGGGAGACCCGGAAGAGGCTCCTGGCTTCGGATCGGCATAGTATTGGCCGTTGTGCTCACTTGGGGAGTGAATCATCGGACGGAAGATCTTCCTCTCTGTCTCTCCTCTCTGTATATCCGCCTTTCCAATAAAAAAATAATAATAAATAAATCTTTAAAAAAAAAAAAAAAAGAAACTCGAGCTGTGTCACCAGCTGCCAACCAGGCCTCCACCGCACACACTCCTGGGATGCAGGAACCCCAAGGGAGACTCACTCACTACGCCAGACGCCCACCTTAAGTACCACTTGTTCACAGCCTTGCCTCCATCACCCCCGGACAGTCTTCTATGCACAGGCCGGGGCTCAATTTGCTCGGCTTGGCATTTATGGGCTTCGGCCTGAGTCCATTTTCCAAATAAAATCTAAGGAGGGAACTACCTGCACCCCCAAATCCCTTTTTGTGAGTCTCCCTAGTCTCCCCCATTCCCTCACGTGCTGCCTGTTCCCCCTTCAGCTCTCCTGCCCAAGCCCTTCCCCTACATGTCAAGGGTTCCCCCTTTATTATCAAGCCAAGGGCCCCTCCATACCCACATACCACCGTGACTAACTGCTGCCCAGCGCCACACGTTTCACCAGCTGGGCTGTCCGACAGGTCGACGTTAGGATGGCTCTAATTTTATAGACCAAAAAAGTGAGAGAGCTACCAACACACAATGAAATACCAGAAAATAGCAGAAAACACAGGTGTGGGGAATCTGAATCCACTCAAACATAGCACTCCCATTGACACCCGAGTTTCATACAAACAAACCGTCTACGTCCCAATCAATATTTGGCTCGTATATATAACTGTCTCTTTTTCATATAAAAAGTTATCGCCGGCAGGTGAAGCTGCGGCCTGCAAAGTCGGCATCCCATGAGTGCCAGCTCAAGCTCCGACGCTCCACTTCCAATCCAGCTCCCCTTTACTTCGCCCGGGAAAGCAGTGAAAAATGCCCCCTGTGTTTCGGCCCCTGCCACTCGAGCGGAAGACCCTGCAGCAGCTCCTGGCTTCTGCCCTCAGGCTGGTTCAGCCCTGCAGACACCTGGGGACCGAGCCAAAGAAAAGAACATCTCTTCTCTCTAACTTTCTGCCTTGCAAATAAACTTAACAAAAAAAAAAAAAAAAAAAAAAACAGTTACAGAGGGAGAGAATCTTCCATCCACTGGTTCATCCCCAAATGGCTACAACGACCTCCTACAAGAAACTCTGGCTTGAAGGCAGAGACCGAAAAACAAAGCTGCTGGTCTGGGTCAGAGCCTTTTTCGAGGAACCCTGGGCTTGTAGCTGGGCTCCCCCACTTCAGCTGTGTGACTAACATCGTCGCGACCCAGTGTCCTGACCCGCGGTGCACAGGGGGCAGCAGGAGTCGGGGGTCCCAGGGTCCCGGGGTCCCAGGGTCCCGGGGTCCCCGGGCCTGTCCCCTCTCGGCCCACGGATGACTCAGGGAGTTGAGGAGCTCCCTTCCTCCGCGCCGCGGAAGGCGTCCCGTCCATCAGCCCTCCGTCCCCACGCCAGGTCCGCCCCTGCCCCGTCGCTCCACGCGCCCCCGCCAGCCCAGAGCCGCCCCTACAAGTCGCCAAGTCGTTGCTCACCAAACCATAGTACTTTCCAACACCATCTTGACTCTTTCCTCCCTCCCCGACCGGCTCTTCCACTGGGGAACAACAGCTCCAGCAATTGGCCGTAGGCTCGTCACCAATTACAGGTCTCGGCGCTTCCGGTGACTTCCTCCTCCAGCCTGCTCCCGTTGGCTTCTGGGAGTTGTAGGCGCCGCTAAACTACAAGGATGTTGTGGGTGGGCAGGAGGTGGAGGCGGTTGCTGCGGTAACACCAGGGAAAAAACCGGACCCACCTGCATCTGCCTGGCCCTTGCACTCCCAGGTGGGGTTCCCTGCGGAATGGAGCCTCAAGAAGCTGCATAGGAACGTTTGTTTGAAAATACCGTAGATACGGGAACCAGGGCGTGGGCAGGCCTGGTGGGGGTTATTGTGGGTCGCTCCGACTAGGCCTCAGCTCTCACTGATTTACGTGAGGGCCGAGTGTGTACTGGGCAGAATCAGGCTGCACTGCAACACCCATTGGTTCCAGTGGAAGTCGGGGCTGGAACAGAACCAGCCCAGCAATTGCAACCACCAACTGGTTGGGGCGATGAACCCTGCCAGAGCCCGTACTTGCTAGTACATTCAAGAATCTGGTCTGGGATCACCTCAGACAAAGTTTCTTTGGGGATCTCCCAAAGAATCGAACTGCCGGACTCAGAACCCTAACGATGAAAAAAAGTGCAGATTCCATGGTCTGCCGTGGAGTGCAAATGCCAGAGCCAAGCCTCCTCAGTGGCTCAGATGGAGCAGTGGACAGCAAAACCAGGTGGACATGGAGGATATGGCAGTCCATCGGAACCCTCAGAGGACACCTGGAATCATAAACAGAAGACAGAACAAATCAATCAACTACCCCAGCAAAGAATTGGCAGGGAAAAACAGGGCAAACAGAGACTCTTAAGGTGGACTCTGTCAGCCAGTGGATTCTGCAGGGACTTCCTCTTGCTTGGAATGGCGAGATCGGCAGCAATTCATAATTGATGAACTAGCAAAACAACCTAAGCAAGACCCTCGGAGCATAACCCACATTGGGGACTTGGTTTGGGTGGGAGACTAGGTGGTGCTTCTCCCTTTTCTCTCCCTTTACCAGAGATACACACACAAAAAAATGTGGAAATAATAGTCTTACCCACTTTCCTGTAGCCCTTGAACCTTTATGCCCTAATTAACTATGTCAAAATTGTCAAAAATAAAGAAAAGAAAAAGAAAATGCTGTGGATATGTTTGTTCCAACATCATCACACCCCAGTCCCCTGCCTCCCATAGCACTCAGTTCTAACTAGCTGTTGTACTGGCAAATTGAGTTTGCTTCCATAGCGCTCTCCTACATTTAATCAAGAGCAGAAGAGACATTCATCTAGCACTCCCTGAGCCCAGCACAGAGTCGACACCAGCAAACTCTACTACTAGTGACATTCAAAATTACTTCATTTCCTCTTCCATTCCGGTCTAGGCCTCCATTTTTTCTCAACGAAAATGGAAAACCCAGGTCGCTACCTTTTTTATTTTTATTTTTAAGATTAGTTTGGGCCCCACACGATGGCTTACTTGACTAATCTTCCGACTGCAAGAGCAAACATCCTATATGGGTGCTTGTTCCTGACCCAGCTGCTCCACTTCTCATCCAGCTTCCTGCTAATGGCCTGGAAAAGCAGTGGAGGATGGCTGAAAGCTTTGGAAACCTACATCCACATGGGAAACCTGAAAAAGCTCTTGGTTCCAGGCTTAAGATTGGCTCAGTTTGAGCCATTACACGCATTTGGGGAGTGAACTAGTGGGTGAAAGATCTTTCACTCTGTGATTCCTTCTCTCTCTGTAAATCTGCTTTTCTTGTTGATTTTTGAAGGATTTATTTTACTTTTATTGGAAAGTAAGATACAGACAGGAGGAGAGACAGGGAGGAAGATCTTCCTTCTGATGATTCACTCCCCAAGTGACTGCAACAGTCAGTGCTGTACCAATCTGAAGCCAGGAACCAGGAACTTCCTCCAGGTCTGCCATGCAAGTACAGGGTCTGAAGGCTATGGACTGTCTTTGACTGCTATCCCAGGTGAAAGGCAGGAAGCTACATGGGAAGTGAGGTTGCCGGGATTAGAACCCATGCCCATATGGTACCCCGGTGCTTGCAAGGCTAGGACTTCAGCTGCTAGGTTACCATACCAGGTCCATAAATCTGCTTTTCTAATTTAAAAATAAATAAATAATCTTAAAAAAAAAAGAATGTGAAGCAACTGGGACACGAACGCATGCCATAAGGGATGCTAGTGCCACAGAAGGGAATTACCCTGGGCCTGGCGGCATGGCCTAGTGGCTAAAGTCCTTGCCTTGAATGTGCCAGGATCCCATATGAGTGCCAGTTCTAATCCCGGTAGCTCCACTTCCCATCCAGCTTGTGGCCTGGGAAAGCAGTCAAGGATGGCCCAATGCTTTGGAACCCTGCACCCGTGTGGGAGACCTGGAGAAAGTTCCTGGCTCCTGGCTTCGGATCGGCATAGCATTGGCCGTTGCGTTACTTGGGGAGTAAATCATCAGATGGAAGATTTTCCTCTGTCTCTCCTCCTCTCTGTATATCAGACTTTCCAATAAATAAATGAATCTTAAAAAAAAAAAGAAGAAGGGAATTAGCCTGAAACGTTGTTACCACACTGGCCAAGGATTAAGTATATTGTAAACATGTAAAGCAGGGAGGGGACATTGCCAACATTCCTGGTAGACACCACTGCAAGTCCTGTCTGCTCATTTTTTAAAAAAAGGTTTATTTTTATTTCAAATCCAAATTTAGGGCCCAATGCAATGGCGTAAAGGCTAAAGTCCTTGCATTGAACACGCCAGGACCCCATATGGGTGCCAGCTCTAGTCGCAGCAGCTCTGCTTCCCATTCAGCTCCTGCTTGTGGCCCGGGAAAGCAGTCGAGGACGGCCAAAAGCCTTGGGACCCTGCACCCACGTGGGAGACCTGGAGGAAGTTCCTGGCTCCTGGCTTCGCGTCAGTGCGGCACCGGCCATTAGGCCACTTGAGGAGTGAATCATCAGGTGGAAGATCTCCCTCACTGTTTCTCCTGCTCTCTGTATATCTGATTTTTGCAAAAGGAATAAAATAAATTTAAGAAAATAAAAAAGCAAATGAGATTCCAGCGCTTACAAATACCTTTCTGAAGAGCTGAGACTGATGTACTCAAAATATTAGCACATATGAGGACCTGATCCTTGATACTATTATTTTGGTTGTCTTTTCGGTTATAGAACGTTTACATATGGGCCTTGTTTGTATCTGAATATAAATGCAGTTATAGAATAATCATGGCAGCTGTTCACCACTAGAGGGCCTCAAAAGCAGCTAGTCCTTTGAGCAGCTGTGTGAATATTTAAGTCATCAAAGCAGAGAGAACTTTAATGACTAAAACACATTCAGACCAAATTTCTTGGTGAGAAGTGTCTGCTTATCCACCCTCTAAGAAAGCTGGGTCTGTGGACAAAACTCAGTTCAAAATTGAGGCATCCCAATTCCTCTTTCAATCCCACTGTTGACCTCTCCATATGCCTTTTTCTTTCCAATGATTCTCACCATCACCTAGCCCAACTTCCCTTCATGTCACTGCCATACCCATTAAAAAAAAAAAAATTCATTCTGGGGCTTGGTGAAGTAGCCTAGCAGCTGAAGTCCTAGCCTTACAAGCATCGGGATCCCACATAGCTGCCGGTTCTAATCTCGGCGACCCTGCTTCCCATCCAGCTCCCTGCTGGTGGCCTGGGAAAGCAGTCAAGAATGGACCAAAGCCTTGGAACCCTGCGCCCGTGTGGAAGACCCAGAAGAGGTTTCTGGTTCCTGGCATTGCATCAGTGCAGCTCCAGCAGTTGCAGCCACTTGAAGATTGAATCATTGGACAGATCTTCCTCTCTGTGTATCTGACTTTCCAATGAACATAAACATTTAGGCCCAGTGGCGTGGCCAAGCGGCGGCTGAAGTCCTCGCCTTGAACGCCCCAGGATCCCATATGGGCACCAGTTCTAATCCCAGTGGCTCCACTTCCCATCCAGCTCCCTGCCTCTGGCCTGGGAAAGCAGTCAAGGAAGGCCCAACGTTGGGACCCTGCACCTGTGTGGGAGACCTGGAAGAGGTTCCTGGCTCCTGGCTTCGGATTGGCATAGCATCAGCTGTTGCGCTCACTTGGACAATGAATCATCGGATGGAAGATCTTCCTCTCTGTCTCTCCTCCTCTCTGTATATCTGACTTTCCAATAAATAAATAAATCTTTAAAAAAAATAAATAAACACTTAAAAATTCATTTTGGTCTAATTTTGTTAAGATTAATCTGAATTGGGCCCAATGCAGTGGCTTGGCAGATAAAGTCCTCGCCTTCAAAGCACCAGGATCCCATATGCATGCCAGTTCTAATTCTGGCAGCCCTACTTCCCATCCAGCTCCTGCTTGTGGCCTGGGAAAGCAGTCAAGGACGGCCCAAAGCCTTGGGACCCTGCACCCATGTGGGAGACCTGGAGAAAGTTCCTGGCTCCTGGCTTCGGATCGGCACAGCTCTGGCTGTTGTGGTCACTTGGGGAGTGAATCATCGGACAGAAGATCTTCCTCTCTGTTTCTCCTCCTCTCTGTATTTCTGACTTTGCAATAGAAAAAATAAATAAATCTTTTAAAAGATTAATGTGAATCATTTTTTATTTTTTATGATTTTTATTTTTTAAAGATTTATTTTTATTATTTTTTTTTATTGGAAAAGCAGATATACAGAGAGGAGAGACAGAGAGGAAGATCTTCCGTCCGATGATTCACTCCCCAAGTGAGCGCAACGGGCCGATGCTATGCCGATCCGAAGCCAGGAGCCTCTTCCGGGTCTCCCACGCGGGTGCAGGGTCCCAAAGCTTTGGGCTGTCCTTGACTGCTTTCCCAGGCCACAAGCAGGGAGCTGGATGGGAAGCGGGGCTGCCGGGATAGAACTGGCGCCCATATGGGATCCCGGGCGTGTAAGGCGAGGACCTTAACCACTGCGCCACCGTGCCGGGCCCCTATTTTTTTTATGATTTTTAGATAGTTGATTAGAGTGTGAGGGGTCAAGGGCTAGAGGAAAGTGGGTAAGAACATTGTT